AATTGTTAGGATTTCTGCCCTTCTACTAATTTTGGTTTTCTAGTTCCTTGAGCTGTGTTAGGTTGTTTATTTGAAATCTTTCTAGTTTTTTGATGCAGGCACTTATTGATTATAGACTTGCCTCCTAATACTGCTTTTGCTTGTACCATAAATTTTGGTGTGTTGTGTTTCTGTTTTTGTTTCAAGAAATTTTTTATTTTTGTTGCCCAGACTGGAGAGCAGTGGTACAATCGTAGCTTACTGCAGGCTCAAACTCCTGGGCCCAAGGGATCCTCCCACCTTAGCCTCACCAAGTAGCTAGGACTACAGATGCATACCACCATGCCTGGCTATTTAAAAAAAAATTGTAGAGATGAGGTCTCGCTATGTTGTTCAAGGTGGTCTCAAACTCTTGGCCTCAAACAATCCTTCAACCATGGCTTCCCAAAGCTCTGGGATTACAGACATGAGCCACCATGCTAAGAAATTGTTTAATTTCATTCTTAATTTCTTCTTTTACCCATTGGTCATTCAGGAGCATGCTGCTTAATTTTCATGTATTTGTATAGTTTTGAATGTTCCTCTGGTTATTGATATTTAGTTTTATTCCATTATGGTCAGTTAAGATATTTATATGATTTTAACTTAAAAAAATTTGTTGACACTTGTTTTATGTTCTAACGCATAGTCAATCCTGGAGAATATTCCATGTGCTGATGAAAAGAATGTGTATTCTGCAGCTGTTGGGCAAAATGTTCTGTAAGTGTTAGATTAATTTGGCTTATGCTGTTTAATTCCAATGTCTCTTGTTGATTTTCTGTCTTGATGAGCCATCTAATGCTTAGGATGGGGTGTCGCAGTTCCCAGCTATTATGGTATTGGGGTCTATTTCTCCCTTTAGATCAAATAATATTTGCTTTATATATTTGGGTGCTTTGGTACTGGGTGATTTTGATTTTTGAAAAAATTTGTTGGGACTTGTTTTGTGTCCTAATGTATAGTCAATCCTGGAGATTATTCCATGTGCCAATGAAAGTCATAAATATTTTGTAGCTGTTGGGTGAAATGTCCTGTAAATGTTAGATTCATTTGGTCTATGCTGCAATTTAATTCTAAACTTTTTTACTAATTTTCCATCTAAATGATCCATCTAATGCTTAGAATGTGGTGTTGAAGTTCCCAACTATTGTTGTATTGGGGTCTATTTCTCCCTTTAGATCAAATAATACTTGCTTTATATATCTGGGTGCTTTGGTGCTGGGTACAAATATATTTATAATTGTTATATTTTCTTGCTGAATTGGTTCCTTTATTGTTATACAATATCTTTCTTCGTCTCTTTTTATAGCTTTTGACTTGAAGGCTGTTTTGTCTAAGTATAGCTACTCCTGCTCACTTTTTCTGTCTCTTCACTTTCAGTCTATGTGCGTCTTTACAGGTGAGGTGAGTTTCTCATAGGCATCATCTAGTTGGTTTTTTTTTATTTTATCCATTCATCAAATCTGTATATTTAAATGGGAAATTTAACCCATTTACATTCAAGGTTATTATTGATCAGTGAAGACTTATTCAAGTCATTTTATTGATTGTTTTCTGGTTGTTCTGTATATCCTTTGTTGCTTACTTTTCCCCTTATTGTTTATTTTTATGGTTGGCTAGTGGTTTTCTGCAGTGATAAGGTTTAATTCCTTTCTTTATTCTCCACTGCATCTCAGCTTTACCAGTGACTTTTATAGTTTTGCATGTTTTGATCATCATGATTACCTTCTTGTCACTTCCAGATGTCAGACTCCCTTGAACATTTCTTGTAAGTCTGGTCTAGTGGTGATGAATTATCTTAGTTTTTACTTGCCTGTGAAAGATTTTATTACTCCTTCATTTCTGGGTATAGTATTCTTGGCTAGCAGGTTTGTTTTATTTTGTTTTGTTTTTTTCCTTTCAGTACTTTGAATATATCATCCCATTCTCTCCTGGCCTGTAAGGTTTCTGCTGAGAAATCCACTGTTAGTCTAACGGAGATTCCATTTTATGTGACTTGACACTTTTTTTCTTGATGCTTTTATAACTGTCTTTGACTTTTAACAATTTGACTATAGTATGCCTTGGAGAGGACCCATTTGGGATAAATCTATTTGGGGTCCTTTGAGATTTCTGAACAGGGATATCCATCTTTTTCCCAAAACTTGGGAAGTTTTCTGCTCTGCTTTCATTAGATTTTTTTTCTTTCTTTTCCCCTTCTCTTATCATTCTGGAATGCTAGTAATATGAATATTTGTTCTCTTAATGGTATTCCATAAATTCTGTAAGCTTTCTTTATTTTTTTATTCTTTATTCATTTTTTTGTCTGTGTTATTTTAAAACACCTGTCTTTTTCAGAAATTATTTTTTCTGCTTGATCTAGTCTGTTGTTGAAGCCCTTGATTATATATTTTTATTTCATTCACTGAATCCTTCACTTGAAGACTTTCAGTTTTTATGGTATCTATCTCTTTGTTGAATTTCTCATTCAAATAATGATTTCTTTTCCTGATTTTGCTGAATTGTCTATCTGTATTCTCTTGTATCTCACTGAATTTCCTTAAATTGTTATTTGGAATTCTTTTTCTGGCATTTCATATATTTCCTTATGACTGGGGTCTTCTATTGGGGAATTATTGTTTTCCTTTGGAGGTGTCATGTTTCCTGCTTTTTCATGTTTGATGTGTTCCTATGCTGATTTCTATGTATCTGGTGGAAAAGTCACTTCTTCCAATTTTGTGGATTAGGTTTCATAGAAAAGGACTTATTCATATGAATGGATCTTGAGGTGTCAGTTCAGTGGGGTATGTTGGCCTTGCTCCTAGGTATATGCAGTAGTGTAGTCTCCATGCAGTTTCTTTAGCTGCAATTCAAACTAGTGGCATTTGTGAGTTTCTCAGTGGCCTAGGCTTTTTCCCACAATGCAAAGTCCTCCTGACTCTGGGCAGATCTTATCTAAGCAGGAGAAACAGAGCTGCAGAAGACGAAAGCCTCCACACTGCCCTCCTGGCCTTCTAGTCACCATAGGTGCATCTCCACTCTCCTACTCCACTCTAACACTCTTTCTTTGACACTCCAGTCAACTCTTAGCTGTTTGTTTGTTGCCTTGGTCCTTCCTTGTTAGAAGGATGAATGCTAGACATCTCTGGTCAGCCACCTTACTGATGTCACACTCTAATTTCTATGACTTTATTGATAATCTCTCTTTGTTGAGACATTGTTTTCCTTGTTTCTTTATTGTTCCATGATTTACTTTAGTTCTTAGAGCATATTTAAAATAGTTAAAGTCTTTGTTTAGTAAATACAGTGTTTGGGCATCCTTGGGGACAGTTTCTATTAATTTTTTTCTTGCAATTGGGCCATACTTTCTTATTTCTTTTCATGCTTCTTAATTATTTATTGAGAACCAGACATTTTGCTAATATAATGTGGTCACTCTGGAAATCAGAATCCGTCCCATTTTCAGAGTTTATTGTTGTTGCTTTTTGTGGGGTGTAGTTTTATTTGTTTAGTACCTTTCTAAACTATTTTTATGGACTGCATTCTTTGTCTTTTTCATTTTTTTATCTCTGTGATCTTATTTCCTTTAGCTTGTGATCAGCTGTGGTCAGAGATTTCTTTAAATGCCTGGGGATGAAGAGAGAGAATAAAAGGAAGAAGAAAAAGGAGGAAAAGGAGGAAGAGAAAGGGAGGAGGAGGAGGAGGAAAGAAGGAGAAGGAAGAGGAAGTGGATGAAGAGGAAAAAGGAAGGAAGGAAGGAAGGAAGGAGGGAGGGAGGGAGGGAGGGAGGGAGGGAGGGAAGGAGGAGGGAGGGAGGGAGGGAGGGAGGGAGGGAGGAAGGGAAGGAAGGAAGGAAGGAAGGAAGGAAGGAAGGAAGGAAGGAAGGAAGGAAGGAAAAATCCTTTTTTTAAGTCTTTGCAAATTGGCTGTGTTTGGGCCTTCCTTCAGTGCTTAGCCCAGATATTTACAACTTTGTGTTAGCCTTAACTTCCTGCTTTCTCTAAGCCTAACTGTCAGCCAGAAGTGAAAGCTGATGGTCTTCTCATTTCGTTTTTGAACACATAACCTGCCCTGGGCATATGCATGGGTTTCTAAATATCAATCATACAGATGGGATTGTCAAAGGCTTTATTTTCCAAAGTGACTCTCTTCCCAGGTTTTCCTCCAAGACTGTCAGCATCTTAGGGTTTGCTCCAACTATAATCTTTTGCAGGGTGGCAGGGACTTGTTTCTTTTTAAAATGTGTTTAAGGAACATCCTTTACCTAGTAACTTTTCCACTCTGAGAGAGATCTAGTTAGGTGAAACAAAAGGAAGTTCTTTTGTCAGTCCTTTGGGGAACTCTCAGACAGGTCAGAACAGACAAACACAATTTCCTGGGAATAAGGTCCACTCTGCTCTTTACAGAATCAGATACTCACATTGGAAACATGATATTCTGTCTTCTATTCCGCTACCATACTAGGGAGGGAGCTGGGGAAGCCTAAGTTAAAAGTATCACAAAGCTTTTCTATTCCTGCCAAGTTAAGTTATCTTGATTTAACTTTTTACTTGCTTTCTCTAAACATCTGACAATTTTCTGGAGTTTTGACAAAGTTGATTCTGAAAGTATATAGCAATATTATCACTGGCAACACTTCAGATTATGAAAACTTGGAAGTTCATTTTTTAAAATATGGCCTTTAATTATGTCAAAAAGTCTAAGACCATGATATTTTGGCTAAATATAGGAGAAATTATTACTTTAGATTTTGAGAGACATTTCAACTATGTGTCCTCAAAGATCTTAGATTCATAATACATCTAATCTGTAAGTATACTTTTGTCATGATCTGGCCGTTTTTTGAATACTGACTCTCCAGTTTTGTATACTGCCTCTCATGATTGTCAAGGCTTTGGGTTAAGTATGAGGAGATGCTGCAATCAGAATCAAGCTTTATGCATTAGTAATATCTTCTGTTTTATTATAATGTATTTTGTTAAAAAATGCTGTCTTTCTCACAGGGCATACACAAACTTGACTACGACTGAATGGTCAGCTCCAATTGTGTGGCATGGCACTTACAATGAGTCAGTTTTGGAAAATTATTATGCAAATCATAAAATTACTGTGGGGTTGACTGTGTTTGCTGTGGGAAGGTAGGTAATGATGTCAAATGTACTTTACATTTAAGCTTTTTATTATAGAAAATGGGATGTAATCTACTGAAGCACCTAATAATTTCACTTAATAACTATTAAATCAAGGCAAATTCCTGCAATAATTTTTTTTTTGAGATGGAGTCTCGCTCTGTCACCCAAGCTGGAGTGCAGTGGTGCCATTTGCTCACTGCAAACTCCACCTCCTGGGTTCATGTGATTCCCGTCTCAGCCTCCCAAATAGCTGAGACTACAGGCACGCACCACCATGCCTGGCCAGTTTTTTGTATTTTTAGTAGAGACAAGGTTTCACCATGTTATCCAGGATGGTCTCGATCTCCTGACCTTGTGATCCACCTGCACTGGCCTCCCAAAGTGCTGGGATTACAGGTGTCAGCCACTGCACCAGGGCTTCCTGCTATAATTCTAAATATCACTTGGTCCACTCAAAAACTGTACCAACACTTGAGTTGTCTTTTGTTTCCTTTATCTGATTTTACAATGCTCTCCAATATTAATTTAATTTCTTGGGTCTATTGACAGTGATTTTAAATATCTTCTCTTCCTTGATAAGGTTATGCTTCTGTTATAGCCATTTTTCATTGTTTTTACAAGGAGTCAACCTAATAATTTGCTCCTACCAGTGCTTTCCCCAAATCATGAATTACTTTCAGATAAACTTACTTAACTGTGCTTATTGACCTCTTACAGGAACACTGGTTCAATATATAATAAAACAATGTAACTGCAGATATTTGTAACAGAATTTTTACCTGCTATATTTTCTGACCACCAATCATAATACATAAAATTAAAAGTACTAAAATAATCCAGTAATTTAAAAACAAATCCAATTTTTTCTTAATTCCTAATCAAATAGAAAATCAAAATAATTAAAGTAGACTCCTAAAAAATACAATTACAATGAAATATTGCCATTTAAAGATGGATAAATATAGCCATTTTGTTGATCTCCTAACTTCTGAAACCCTTGGAAAACAACAAACATGAATCAAAAAAAGTTTTAAGTTAAATAAAACTAAGAAATATCCAAAATTGGCTGGACGTGGTGGCTCATTCCTGTAATCCCAGCATTTTGGGAGGCGGAGGCAGGGGGGATCACCCGAGGTCAGGAGTTCGAGACCAGCCTGGCCAACATGGAGAAAACCAGTCTTGACTAAAAATACAAAAGTTAGCCAGGTGTGGTGGGGTATGCCTGTAATCCCAGCTGAGAATTGCTTGAACCTCAGAGTCAGAGGTTGCAGTGAGCCAAGATTGTGCCACTGCACTCCAGCCTGGGAGACAGAGCAAGACTCATCTCGGGAAAAAAAAAAAGACCTATATCAATAACCTAACCGCCTACTTTAAGGAACTAGATAAAGAAGAGCAAACTACACCTTAAGCAACGAAAAAAGCAGTGTGGGGCTAAACATTAGAGCAGAAATAAATGAAGTAGAGAATTTTAAAAAATAGAATCACTAAAACCAAAAACTGGTTCTTTGAAAAAGATCAGCAAAATTGATAAAGCTTTGAAAAAACAAATTGAAGGGCATTCTACAAAAGAGCTGATCAGGACTCTTCAGAACTGTGAGGTCATGAATAATAAGGAGAGAAATGGACACAAATAGGAAGAGACTAAGGAGACTAAATGCAATGTGCGTCCTGCGTTGGATTATGGAAACTAAAATGTCCATTGGAGGAATACCGATTAAATCAAAAAATCTGTGGTATAGTTAATAGTATCTTACCACTAATAATTTCCTACTTTTGACAAGTGTGCAATGGTTACGTAAGACATTAATGTTAGAAGAAGCTGGATGAAGTGTATATGGGAATTCTCTAACTTACATTCGCAACTTTTATTAAATTTGCCCTACATCAAACCATACACAAAAATTAATTCAAATGGGTAATAGATTTAAAATGTTAAGGATAAAACAATAAAGCTATGATAAGAAAATATAGAAGTATATTTTCATTACTTTAAGGAGGCAAAGATTTCTGAAACATGACACAAAAGCACTTAACCATGAAAGTAATGCTGGGTGAGGTGGCTCATGCCTGTAATTCCAAAACTTTAGGAGACCAAGGTGGAGGAGGATCACTTGAAGCCAGGAGTTTCAGACCGGCCTGGGAAACATAGCAAGACACTGTCTCTATAGAAAAAAAAAAATTTTTAGTTAGCCTACGTGTGGTGTTGTGCACCTGTAGTCCCAGCTACTCAGGAGGCTCAGGAGGGAAGACTTCTTGAGCCCAAGAGGTTGCAGTTGCAGTAAGCCATGACTATACCACTGCACTCCAGCCTGGGTGACAGAGTGAGATCCTATCTCTAAAAACAAAATTTTAAATCTTTTTAAAAGAAATGTGGGTAAAATGGACTTCTTTGGATTTTAGGTGCTAGCTTCCAGCTCAGCAGAATATTTTAAGTGATACTTTTCATAATTTACTTGGTAATTTTAGATGTTCTGAACTAGAAAGGTTTCTCCTTATCTCTAATCTGCTATATTTATTAAAACTTAGAACAATATCCAGAATTCATTTTTAAGGATTATATAAACATATTTAAGGTGAATAATACATGATTATCTTTCCTTCTTTGAATTTACCTGAGGCATTTATTATTCTGAGAATCTTTTCCTGGCTTGAGAGACTAGAATTGAAAAAGTTTTGTTTTTCAGCCAGCTATTCTAAAATTACAGTAAGGGGCACAAGGTAAAATAAGAAAAATGGTTCAGACAGTGGATTATTGACTATGCCTCCTCTGATTTTGTATGCATAACTGATTATTCATAAAGCAAGACACAGACAATGATAGCTCCTCCTGCAATGACCCAAGACCTTTCCTGCCTATGACCCCCAAAAGCAAGTTACCATTGCTTTTCAGGTCATCACTCTGAAAACTCTGGCTCTCATTCTGGGCTGGGTTCTGCTCAATTTTCTAATCTCACTAAGTTTCATTATCTCTAGTGAGGAACTTCTCTTCTATTCTATGATCTGCAGAACCCCATCAGGGAGCGGAAAGGCAGATAATTTCACTTTCTTCTATATTACTTAAATATAACTCAAGAAGTATATCTAATATGTGGTTGCCTACCAGCATTGCTAGATAGGCTAAAGTCAGTGTAATTTAAATATATGTACTCCACTAAAGTATAATATAAAGATGAACTCAATCACGTCTTATTTACTTTACAGATACCTTGAGTTCTATTTGCCAGGCTTTTTGTTATCTGCTGATAAGTTTTTTATGGTTGGCCAGAAAGTAATAATTTATGTCATGGTAGATAACTTCTCTAAGATGCCTTGGATACATCTGGGTCCCCTTCGTACATTCAAAGTTTTTGAAATTAAACGCGAGAGGAGATGGCAAGATATCAGTATGATGCGCATGAAAACCATCAGTGAACTCATTGTCAACCACATCCAATACGAAGTTGACTTCCTATTCTGCATGGACGTGGATCAAACCTTCAGAAAAAAATATGGATTGGAGACTCTGGGAGAGTCAGTAGCTCAGTTACATACTTATTGGTGTCAGGTAAATCCTAATCTAGTACCTTACGAAAGAAGTCAGTTATCAGAAGCTTATATACCTATGAACAAGGGAGATTTTTATTACCATGCTGCTGTTTTTGGTGGCACTCCCCTTCAGGTTCTTGATATTGCCAAGGAGTGCTCCAAAGGAATCATCAATGATAAGAAAAATAACATTGAAGCAGTATGGCATGATGAAAGCCACCTAAACAAGTATTTCTTTCTCCATAAACCCACCAAAATATTATCACCAGAATATTGCTGGGATTTTAATCATGAAAGGAATTCTGATATCAAAACTGTGAAACTCTCTTGGAATATTAAGTATTATAAATTTCTTAGGGTGACAGCATAATTTTATAGCCCTTCCTTTATATTTCTGAATCATTTTGTCTCATTCTTTAGAAAATTGTCTTATTCCTTAGAAAAGTTGCACTCTACAAAAGTTAGCACTAAAAAATCACAAACAAAATGGCAAGCCCACAACAGAGCAAACTTATACTTTCCTTTACATTCATTTTGAATCATACAACATGAGATTTAATAGTTGCAGAATAAGTTTATTGAAATCAGAAGAGATATGAATGTTGAAATATTATTTGGTAGATCATATCAAACAAAATGGATTCTGTTACAAAAAAATGAAATGTGAAATACTTTCATTGATCCAAGTAGATATAATTTTTTCCTATTGCTTAAGGAAAGGAGTTATCTAGAGGTGTGGGGAAAAGAAGATCCCTACAACTATGTCAATATGCCCTGTATGTAGAACTTTGAAAACATTAAAGCTGTCACCAAACTTTGAGTCATTCTGAAAGAACTATATACTTTAAAACTACAGAGTTGTTTGTTGTAAAAACTTATGAAAAGAAAATAAAAATACATATAGAGAAAATTGAGAGTCTCCCTTTTACTTTCCCTTTGAAAACCTATCTTAACGTATTTCTTATATATGCATTTATATACCCATTACATGAATACACACACACATACTCACACATGTGCTTATATAATATTTTATACAAGTTGACTTACATCACACACACACATACACATGCACACACACATCTTATCAATAGTCAAGGTCTAGCTAGTAAAGCAGAAACTACTATACTAGGTATTTCAGACAATGGGGATTTAACATAGATAATTGGACATGAAGGTGATAAAAGAGCTTGAGAGAGATACAAGGGAGAGGAGGCAACCCATGATTTTCAAAATAAAGGCAATAACATCCTGAGGGTTGAAGAGAAAAATGTAGGATGTCTAGAAAGAGCTAGAACCTAGCAGAAGTTACCTGGCATGAGGTGACACAAAAGAGAATGGAGTGTCAGCTACTACTCGATATGCTACCCATAGTGAGGGTGTGGAGGGGAGATCCAGGCTTTTCTGTTCCTCCTACCCTGCTCTTTTCTGTCAGTATATTTTGGTGCCTGTGCTATGCAATCATCAGAGAGCACAGGAGTCTGGGTAATATAGACCTCTGCCACATTGAGCAGAGCACAGGAAAAATGAATGATTGAAGAGTAAACACTCAAATGGCTACTACAGTCCAACCATTGTGCCACAAAGCACCCATTTTCATGCTTCTATCCATACTTAACTTTCATAAAATGACTTAGTGTTTCCACCTGCTAGCATTCAATTAACTTTTGTTCAAAAGGACACTTTCTTCCCAAAAAGGTGGAACACAAAGTACCATCTGACATAGTATCTCGCACCATGTCCAGGAAGCCCACATGAACTGAGTTCCTCTCCATCAGAACTGTACTTGGCTCTTCACAGTTTTGTGAACTCTGATCTAAATTAATAAAAGAATATCAGTGTAAATAACAGAGAGATTCTCCATAGATATTACGTTTATTCAGGAGTGTGCAGGGCATTTGCAAATCTGGGATATGTGGGCTATAAAGCCCATAAGCATGTCCAAAGAAGTTGAGGTGAGAGGAAGCCTTTAAATGTAAAAGGGAAAAGTATATATAATTTGTTCTGAAACAAAGAGAACTTTGGTTACAGGAGCTTACTGCAAGAGTTAACACCAGTTCATTATTTGTGTGTCAGGTAAGTGTTCTTGTGCATCTGGCTAGCTGTCCTTGTGACTCATGTAGCAAACTGTGTATAAGAGCCCTTCAGAGAGTCTTTGTAATAATTCTTATCACAGGCGTGTGTGCATGAGGGCCCTCTCTTCTCAGCCTTCTGGCTTTATTTTTATTGTTAGGGTTTGACACAAGTGACTCCATTTTTTTTTTGTACTTTAGGTTTTGGGGTACATGTGCAGATCATGCAGGATGGTTGCATAGGTACATACATGACAATGTGGTTTGCTGCCTCCATCCCCCCATCACCTATATCTGCCATTTCTCCCCATGTTATCCCTCCCCAACCTCCCCATGCCCTGCTGTCCCTCCCTCAGCCTCCCCCAACCCACCCCAGTGGTGACTCCATTTGGATCCTGACAACTTTCACAAGAATAACTAACATTCCTCATTTAAAAATAATAGAAGGAAAAAAAGAAAATAATTGACTGACATACAGAAATGTATATTTATATTTATAATATACAAATAAGAATACGCATGCCTGCTTCAGTCCTCCTTTCCACAACTAGTCACAAGGTCAAGTTCATATTTATCACATTTCTTTCACCACCCATTCCATGTTCCTTCCCCTCTGCTAAAAGCTCAGCTAAATACTGTTTTTTACCTGATGTGTTGGCATAATTGTTTTCCCTATGAGACCTGAGTCTTTGGTGAGTTATTATTGGATTGCCACAGTTTCCCTTTAACAATGGCTATTGGATAAAACAATAGTAGGAGGCTCCCAGTGAATACCTTAAGTTCTAAATATAGCCCCCATTCCACTATTGTATAGTAGCAATCAACTTTATTCTTGATAATTTTGGACCCTTGATAATTAGGTTCCCTGATTCAATACAGAGAACTCCTCTGGCTGTTGATTCAGCATGATGAGAATACAAAATGGCCAAGGGGAAGTCCCAAATTCCAATCAACAGGATCATTATTGTGTTTCCCTGTGGGAACATTTCTTTCTGAGGCTCTAGGGCCTCCAAACCCACTGAACCCAGGCTTGCAGAGATGGAAACAAAAATGACTCCATTGGGTTATCTGGTGTAAAAGAGGGCCTCACGTCTCTACCTCATAACTTCTGGCTATGGAGAAGACAGTATGACATAGTAGCCGCTATTTTAAGGTATATCCCACATACTTTAGGACAGCACCCAACCTCACAGAGTGTTGTCTCACAGCTCACAATGTTACAGAATCTTTAGCAAGCCATTTCATAAAGTGACCTGCTTCCGGTCATGAGTTGCATCGTAAGAGCAATGGACTCCGTGGGTGAGTCTATTGTTGCACTTACTTCACAGTAAAATATATCTCTTTAGTCCGAGGCAATGGATGAAGTCTCTTTAGTATGAAGCAATGGATAAAGCTGCAAATCATGGTCCTGGCAGAACTATAAGAAAGAAAGGCAAATCTCTATCAGACATATTTTTGTTTGGGGATAAATTTCTTACTTTTACATAATGGAAAAGATCCAAGGTAACCAATATGCCACCATAGTCTCTGCTATTGGCAGACTGGGCGTTTAGCAGTAGAGATAGCCAGGTCATCACTGATGAGAAGAAATCTATCTTACTGAGCCTTGGCAGAGCTTCCACCCCTGCACCAATACCACTTTGTACATAGGCCCATTGAGCAAATACTGTGGTGGCTATAGAAAAAGGCTGACTGAACTCAGTCACAGAATAGGTTATGACATCGACTTGATTATTGAAAGCCTCCTCTGTTGAGATTGCTCTTTGGTGACCATTTTCATGTGACACATATACCCTCAAACTCTTCCTATTTCAGAACCCCTTTAAAGGACCTTGGACTCTCTTGTCACCAATTTACCAATCTGCACAAGTCCAATCTCATATAAACCATTTCCATTTCATGGATTGCAGATGCATACACCACACTTTGAGTGTTTTGGATCAGAGTGCATTAAGTTCATGGTGAGTAGAAGAGTCATAGCTCAAGTAAACTTCTTATGCCTCAAGCATTCATCTTCTACCTGGGTCATGCAAAATGCCTTACCCAGTATCTGTGTTTGCCACCGAGTCTGCTAAGTGGCACAGACCTTGCTCTACTAAATGGACTTTAATAGAACCTTCTCTTGCCTTTGGCCTCACTCAAAATTGGAATGGTTACCAGTTGCTCAATAAATAAGACAGCACATCCAAATGCAGGATACATCACCTCCAATATCCAGAGTCCCCCTCAGCATTGTGCTTCTGATTTAGTTGAAAGTGGTGCAAGGCACAGGAACTTATTTGTCTAGAGCCATATGTCTACATGCTCCTTAGACATAGTGTTGATTGCAGGCCCCTAAATTTCTGGGGGGGGTTCCTTCCACCTCTTTATATACATTTGTGTTAGCACAACATCTGTGTCTTGCTATTGTTCAAAAGATCCAATCAGCTGTGGCTAACAATAATATCCTATGAGCTGTCCTAATGATCCAGGACCCTGTGGACTGTATTATGACAACATAGGAGGGTTCACTGATGTCTCTTCCCGGTGAAAGCAAACTGCTTTTGATAATCCTCATTAATCACTATAAGAAAAAAACACATTTTTCAGATGCATACCAAATACCAGGGACTATGCTAATTTGCTCCAGCAAAGATATACCTGGAAAAGTAGCTGTCACTGGAGTCAGCACTTAATTTACTTTACAGTGATTCACAGGCATTCTCCATCTGGCTTTTATACAGGCTAAGCAGGCAAGTGCTAGGAACCAAAAGCCTGCAATATTCAAGTCTTTAAATAGTAGAGCTAATCTTCACAATTACAATTTCCACAGAGAGGTGCTATTAATTTTGATTTGCTATTTTAGTAGGAGAGCCTTTTCCATTGGCTTTCATTTGGCCCTTTTTAACATATTAACCATTTCTCCATGGGTCAAGGACATATGTAAATACTTGACCAGTTGCTAAGTATAAATATTCCAACCATAAATTCAGGAACTAGAGCAAAAACCACATAGTGGCTCTTACATATTGAAGTCACTGTGAGATAAATTCAGGGCAAAATTTATCTCTGATTTTCCATAAGTCTTCACTCTCTTCAGTAGACCACAATAGCATTTCTAGTCCCTAGAAATTATTGTCAACTCAGAACTAGTGTCCATTCTACATTTCCTCCAAGGACATAGGTATCCTAGCAAATAACCACAGGTTCTTCTTCAAGGTGACATAGCCTCCCTTCAATCAAGAGATTTAAGTTCTGTAAACTGACTTAGGTGTGTGAACACAACAGGAGACCATAACTTACTGTGGCAACTCAAGTTAAATTTCTGTTGACCAGGCCTAGAGTTTTTCCAGTAATATAGAAACGTATCATTCTTATTTAAATCAGAGTCCGTTATATTATCTCCTGACACCAATTCATTTCTTAATAACTTGGTAAAGAAAAATGTCCTCTAAGTCCCAAACCCAGCCAAAGAACATAGAGTGAAGGAGAGTGGACTGAACATAATAAATTCAGTCACTTCAACATTCCTAACTAAACATTCCTGTCTCCCTAACTAAACCTTTGGATTTCTTACATAATGCCAGGGAAGTTATGACATCTAAATCTCATTAATCATAGGCTACCACTGAATTCAAATTTTAGTTTAAAAACTAAGAAAATGCTTAGAACCACTTACTGCTGACTGAGATAAACATACTAAATCCAGAATCTCAGGTAAATGTCCCTGTTTTAGTAACTTCAGCTCAATCCAATATTATATTCCATTCATCTTGGTCTAACAGTCGTATAATCCATCCTCACATGTGTTTCCTTACTAATTTAAATTAGCAAAAGCTTGAAATTCTTT